GATTTTATTTATAAGTTCTTAGATATTCCACTTTCAGGTTTTCATGAACAAGTAATTTCTCAACATTTCTTTTTTGTGTCTCTTATTTATACTGCTAGCTAATCATTTTATAATTACACCTTCTTTTCATTTGTTTTTTTTTTAACCAATGGAAGTTTTTATTTTATATTAGCTTACCAGAAAAAGTATATATGTATATTCTATATACTACCATACATTAAATATATACATATACAGTATATGTATGTTTCTAGCAGGAAAGGGCATGAAACAAAATAATAGTTGATATCTTTGTGTCACTTGTTCCTAGATGAATTAAGTTCCTAATCTTTCCCCCCAGTACTTTCTATTTTATAAAGTCTGTGAAAACTGGGGTAGGAATTGGGTTTTTAAAATCATATTTAGTTCATCTTAGCATCTGAGTTTCACCATGCCTCCTACATTCCCTTTTGCCTTTATTCTATCAATGACAAGTGGGTGGTACAGTCATATTAACTTTGCATAATAGATCAGACCTTTATTTTAGGAATGAGGCAACCATATTTGTTTCTTTCCCTGCCCCATTGTTTGGGACTACACTTCTTATTATTAGGAGCAAAGGTGAAGGGCGGGATGGAAACCCTCCAGTCTTCCAAGGTGGAATACCCAACCTCATCATACTTGCTCAGTGAGTACAGCCTGGGTCTTGGAGACTGAGTGGAGAGCTGTTGTTCTAGGGACCTTACAGCACCACTTCCGAGGAATCAGTGAGCCCTCATTAGTACTGTATCTGTCACATGCAGAGAGACTTGTGTTTGGTGCTGAAATGGGAGACAGAATCAAGAACCAAGACAGGTCCCCAAAACAAAGGGAACTAAACTAGTGAGGAAAAAATGCCATGTACAGAATTTCAAGTCAAAATCAAACTCAAGGTAGGAGCTAAAAATAAAGCTGTCAATTATGAGATTAGGGAAATTTTGGGAAGTACAAATGCCAAGGAAACTCCACAGGAGGGGGAATACTTCTGCACTAGGCAGGGATACCTGGGGGGCTGGGGAGAATAGCATCTGGGAAGAAGGAAGGGTGGTGGGAGGTAGGTGGAAAGAAGACAAAAGACATTGTCAAAGTTTCACTTATATCCTGATATGACTGATTTTCAAAATACATATGACCCGCAGTTTTCCTTAGCCTGTTGAATAATACTGAATAATATACAGCAATTCTCAAATATATTAAGTAATCACTGTTTACATGGTATAATTCACCTTTTAATACCTTCCACAAGAGGTTTATTTTCTTTGCATTCAGTGAAAATAACTTATGTATTTAAGACTGAACTTTATTTCCTCAGCATCATCTCAGGTTATAAAATGCTAGTGAGGACATTTAACCACAGATGTCTTTCTGGGTTAGTAAGATTAGTTTTTGCCTAACAAATAAGATTAAATTCCTGTTTTTCAAGCTCTTTATGTCACTACTTCTCTCTGCAAAAACTCACTTCCTGAAATTCTTTTAGCTAACTCAAAATCTAAATATTAGGAATGTGGGGATATGATACAATTGAAAGATACATTTGTCCATTTATCAAGTAGTATATACTCACGCAAACTTAATCCCTGGGATTGTCTCTTTTTGATGTTGTTTAAAATATTAAATTAACAACACTGATCTTTCTAGCATTGGGTTAGGCAGAGATGTGTTGGGTTATTTAATTTTCCAAATTAACTAACTGTATTAACTTTCACATATTTAGGCTACTGTGGAGGATAATCTAACTTACAAAGTCTGCTGTTTATAATTTTATTATGTCCCTTTATTTTTTTGCTTAAAAACCAGCCTCTGAATTAGTATGTCCACTAAAAGGACATAAGATGATTTATGTAATTGTAAGACTGAAATATTTCAAAATTTGATTTACTGACATGGAATTTATTGGTGGATAGAAAATAAAGTGACCTATTGATCATTAAATATAATTGATATATTTGTGTCATTTGTTATTCTTAGATGTTTCAACATTTTTCCTATCACTTCCTATTTTCTAGAATCTCCGCAAATTGAGGCAAGAAAAGGTTTATTGTATTTGGTCTTAGAAACTTGTTTTCATATTATATTTCAAAAACACTTTTTTTTTAAAGTTCAAAGGCTGAGGCAGGAGGACTGCCTTCAGTTCAAGGCCAGCCTGGGTCACACAGTGAGTACACAGTGAGTTCAAGACCAGCCTGAACTACATATCAAGACCTTGTCTTAAAAAAACCAAAAAATAAAATATTATTATGTATTCTCACAATTTATTCTGATTACATTAGTGCTGACAGTTCTTTCTTAATAGCATAAGTAAAAATAATCTAATATTTTAAAAATGGAAAACCAAGATTTAAGTATAAGTAATGCATTTTTAAACACTGACTTACTGATTATAAAGTTATTTTTCGACTTCATCTAGTGCACCTGTTTAGCTTCAACCAAATCTTTTATCTTGAATCTTAGTTTACTTCTCAGATGGGTTAATAATAAATCCTACATGATTTATTTTTAGGTAGCATTTCTTGGATATCATTTAAATGATATCGATTCTTTTTTTAAAAAAATGGTATTGATTCTTAAATGTATTGGAACTCAACAGTACAGTGTACTGATAATGGAAGATGGATATTATGACTTTATATTCTTATATGTGATATGAAAATTAATGTATGGCTAATAATATTATCTTTGGGTCTTGAACAATGAAAATTAGTGGAAGAATATGTCAGCTTGAAATTTTTCATGGCACAAATTTATACTGGTTTTGTCAGTCTTTAAAGCTTAAGAATCACAGATATTCTGTGGGTTTTAAGTTGCTTTTAAAGCTTTGTTAATAAATGATGCTGGTTGGATATTGATATACCATTCATATATAATACAAATGGGGATTTTTTTAATCAATCAGAAAAACAATAATAATGCTGATTTAAACATTTTGTGTCCTGCATCGTATGGTCGGCATTTCATATATACCAAACATATATATGTATGTATGTGTGTATATATACATATCTATCTTTCATAAAAATAACATTGCAGAGTTCATATCCACACATTTTCTAGCAATACTGAATTTCTCTAGGGATACTACATTTTGGAGATCAACAATCCATGTGCTAGCTTTGCAAGGTAGTTTTTTACTCGAGGCAAGTTATTCTTGGTCATTGGGAATAAAGCTCTCACTGTTTGAATTCAGCCCATACGTGGTTGATGGCCCCGAAGGGCATGTGTGCAATTTAAGAGTCCTGAGCTGTATTGAAACTAGGATGCTCACAATAAAAACTAGCATCTATAACGAAGCATGGGACCTTACCGGCATAAAGGAACAGGGTGCTAAAACATGAAGATACCATTTATACACAGCTGCTTTTCTGCAAGTCACCACACTTTGATTTTGAGAAAGAAGACTAGAGATCTATTGAAGAATTCATTCCTCATGGCACTGGTTCAACCTCTGGCTCCTCTGCTGAAAAGCGTCCTTATGTAGCTATACTGTCCTAGTAGAGCAGAAAGGAAAACTGAAGACAACCTTAGCCCCATGAGAGAACTCTCTTCTTTCCCACAAAATAAATCCACTTGGTGAAGAGGAAAATAATCTCCATATCAGAAAAGAAAAAGTACCGCCATAAATGTACAGGCTTTATCAAATTTATCTTAGTATTCTCATTACTTAGCTTTATTATTTAAAAGATAAATGGTTTTGTTACATCACAGATGATGCCAGAAACCAACTCTGCATGAATGAATGAAAGGAATAACCTACTGGGATGTGTTCTGCACCCAAAATATTCTTTTGGCAGGAGGGGGAAATTAAAGAGGAAAGACACCTCATGAAACAAATATTCTTAAAATTTACAAAATCAATTTTAGGTTTCTAGGTTCACTAGGACACTTCCAGGATTAACAAGCACACTAATGTGACATTTCTAGGTCCTTAAAAGAGGCACCTCGGGCCGGGGATTTAGCTCAGTGTTTTGGCCGCCTGCTGTGCAGTCGCAAGGACCCTGTACCAAAAAAAAAAAAAAAAGAGAGAAGGAAAAAACAAGAACAAAACAGAACAAAACTAAAAACAGTGTTCACTTTCATGAAAAAACAAAAAAAAAAAAGTAAAGAAAAAAAAAAGAGGCACCTCAAATCCCTCTCCCCTGGCACCCCCATTATTTATTTAACTTTGTAGTCTATTATCCATGTCTGGGAACATTTGTAGCTACAATGGGTGAAGGAATTGTTTTCTAAGTACACAGATCCAACCTCACAGTGCATGAGAATCGTGAGACAACAGTGTGGGATTCAAATAATACCGGGCAACAGGAGACAGGGTTGCCTCTGAAAACACGGGGAGGACGTTACAAATATCACTGAGACACACACACGTAAGCTTAATAATTTGTTTTTCTCTTAAATAGCTTGAGAAGGTCTGCTTGATTTGACCTCAGCAGAAAGCAAGTCCCTTGGGAACCGATGCCCAGATACACTGGGTCTCCGTTGGCCGGCGCTGCCCAGGGCAGTGACCTTAGCGGGGCATGCGCTCCAGGCGCAGCGTGGACTTTGCCATTCACCTTCTCTCCACTCCGAACAACCCACACCCACCCATCAGAACCTGGTGTCGCCTTCGGGACCCAGCATCTGTCTGGGTCCAGGATTGCTGGTCAGGACCCAGTGCCTCTCGGAACCCAGCGCCCCAACAGAACACCTCTGAACCCGAGACAGTACTTCAGGGTGGGTCAGGACCTTGGGCGGCACATCAGGACCTGTCAGGACTCGTCTGCCCCGCACCGCAGCAGCACCTAGCGGAGCGGCGAGGAGGTGCGGCGGCGGCGGGCGCGCGCACGGCGGAGGTGCGGCGGCGGGGCGC